ATTCGCGCCGGCGATAAGAACGCGGGCGTAAACGTCGCAATGTGTTTCCCGCCGGATTCGAGCTGAAGGCAAATAAATAACAGTAAATCACGCTCGTGTCACGCCGTGTTTTCTATGTATCTCTCGTCCATTTGACAAATTGTTTCAAGCTCTTCTTTCACCACTGGTTCTCGTCTCTCTCCTCTTTTCATCTTCTCTACTTTTCTCTGTATTTCTTATTTTCGATCTAACTTTTCCTAAACGCGACGGAAACGTAACGTTCGCTATGCGAGAGACGTCATGGCGGTATCGAACAATTTCGGATATAATTGTTCAAAATCGGAGAATCTCGGCCGGACAGGAAATCACACGACAAGCCGAACAATCACGGATTCGTTCGTCTCGCCTTTCGAACTTAGGCCGCGTGTCGCGCGCCTCTTTCGTCGCGTAGCGCAACGAACGTGAACGGCGGCGGCGTGGAAATGAGCGAAATTAAAGAAAACAAGACGCATAAGACGCGACGAGCACATGACTGCTCGGATTGATAGCGGTAAACTCGTGACGGCGGGCCCGATAAAGCACCGAGAACGATTTAATCGGCCACTACTGGCCACAAACGTGTTCAGTTCTTCGCCGTCATGTCCGGGACGAGGAATTACGAGACGTTCGAGAACAGCGAGCCTGCCGCGCCGCTCTCTGCGAAGTGAGTATATTCGGCTGACAAAAGTAGTGTTCAAAATGTAGTTACTGGCGCACCTCTGATTGAGACGGTTGAAATATTACTAAGAATCCATATATATATATTTATTTAGAGAATTGCTTAAAATAACTTTAAAATCTCATCAAAAGCCGTAAGAAAAAAACCGTTTTAAAAACCTCAAAAATGGCNCAAAAACGTCGAAAAAACCCCAATTCCCCCCCCCCCCCTCCTCCTCCCTCTCACCCAATAGAATCTTGTTCACCCAAAACCAGCCCAATTTTTGACTCAAAAATCGGGAGATTCAAGAGTCATAAAATTCACCCAAAAACATTAAAATTAAAAATTTGAATTAAATAATTAAAATTTGAATATGTAGAGAAATCCTCCTCGTGGAGGATTATTCATTTAATTTCGTAATTTTTTCTTCTCAATCATTTTTAAGAAGATGCATTCATGAAAACGCCATCACAGATGGCGCATGCTATGTGTTGGTTGTGGTGGCGTTACACGACGCTACACATATACACGCACACGACCGAAGGTTAGCGGGCGCTAAGGTGAAGTAAGAAAAGAGAGACTTCCCGAGTCACGCCGAAACCGCCGAAATGTATCCGTAAAACCAAACCGCCAAATGGTACCGCAGAATATTATGGATTGCTGGCAAGGCCAACAGGGTTTTTTAATTATTCGATTAACGTTTAACAGACTTAAAAATAGCGTCACATTATACGATTTCATACAAAAAATAGACGAAATTTATACGATACAGATTTATATAAACAAATTGGATTGATTGATGAGGACGGTATAGAAGAAGTGTAAAATGTATGGCGATTAACAAGTTCAGCTGTGATCACGGCTCTAATTATTGCATATAAAATGTTATTTTTTGCATTAGCTTGCTTTCATAATAATGATGCGTTGTCTTAGCTAGTACAGACAAGTAGTTTTTTTTTCTTATTTTCACATCGTGGAGCTTCACTTTGATCGGAGTGCGCCAGAAACGAGATGACATTTTGAGAGATTCCTAGAGTGTTTAAGAAAATGATTAATTTTGCAATTTTTTATATGATTTTTCGCAGCATATTTTTAACGTTCCAACTGGAGGTGCGTCAGTAACTATTTTGAATACTATCGTTAAACGCCGCTTTTTATCTATCCTCAATTCCTCATTGTCGTCATCGTTGTCATCGTCATTCGTGATAACTACGACCTAAAATGGAAAATGACATTGCCGCATACTTTCGCGATTTTCCCGCTTGATTCGGATAAGATAGAGCGTCTATGTTTCCGATAAGTGTCTGTCGGTCAACATTATTCAGCACCTCGTAGAAAGTGACTTCGACGACTCACTGCCACTTTTAATCTCACATTCGTACTTAAAAGTAGTATTGTCAATTTAGATTACCCGGGTACTCGAGTTCTTCGGGATTAGCTTCCTTTCGGCAAAGCTTTAGTTTTATTTTTCACGGCGAACAGCATCGGCCGGCTTCGTTCTCGAGCGAGGAATCTCGATATTTCGGACTCGATAGCTCGCCATTATGCGTGTGAATCATGTTGAGAAAAGCCGCGGCATCTAATCGTGGCGAACGTCATTACGGACGCGATTACGCTGTTTGCCGAAGTTCTCATTAAGCATCGTAACCGTTCGCTCGATTTATCTCGCCGGGTCCGCCTATTGCTTTTACCTATTACTGCTTACGACGTGACGTCGAAAACTCGTTGTTCTTTATCATTTAATGTTAATGGTCGTCGAACGCATTAACAAACATCGACTCGTTAACGCGATCGGGAAACGCATTCAGGGATCAAATCGGTGATTCGATCGATCGATCGCGTGACTTTCATCTCCTGCTTTCGACGGTAATGCAGATTTTAATTTCGTGTCAATTTATATTCAACTCATATGTATCATGTTTTTTTATGAAGAAAAATTGAAGGAAAATTGTTTTTTATGATGGAAAATTGAATTCTCGTTCTCTACCACTCCCCTCCCCCCCCTCACCCTCTCTCTCCTTCTCTCTTTTTTTATTTGCTTCTTTTGCTCGCTCGCTCGTTCGCTCTAATAAATAATACAGTAGCTGGAATGACGCGACAGAATGTTGCTGAATAGATATTAGAGGTCAGCCCGGCATACCGCGAGATCGCTCAGCATTCTAATTATCACTCGCTCAACGTTATCGCGCGTTGCTCGCAAGTTCCCATATTAACGTCATCCCGCTTTGCGGCGCGCGGGTGCGTTCTTGCGGAAACCGCCGTAGTGTGCGGTGCGTGCGTGTGCGTATTTCTCACACGTCCGTGAATTTTTTACGGGAGCGAGTCCGCGTCTCGACGCGTTTGCGCAGCTTTTTATTTTTCGATTCCTATTTTTTCTCTCTCTCTCTCTCTCTCTCTCTCTCTCTGCGACGAATTCCTCCGTCCGTGCGATTCACCGGTGGCGAATGCTGTTCGACGGCGGCATAACGAATTCCTCGTTTCTCGTTTTCACGTAAGCACGCGCGATCGGCGAAAAGAGAGTCTCGCGCAAGATACTTTTCTTCGCGCGCCCGTAACCTCTGCTCTTTCGGATGAACGGCCTCGGCTGGCCTCGCCGCTAAAGCTCCTATTTATGATGCCATTAAGGGACATTTGCCTCGTCGTTTTGTATAAACGTACGTAGAAGCGTCCGAAAGCTTTTCACACGTCCCACGAACAGCAAACGTGACAGTTTCGCCGCGCGACAGATATGGCGCAATTTTTCTCCGATAACGAGACGATCAGACACGGTCCGTGACCGAAGCCGCCTTATCGATGTTGAAAGCAGATTATACTTGAAAAGAGTAGATTATATTATATACTTCGGCGATCTTAGGACGATCTTAGAACCTTATTTAGAAATACTAGACTTAACTTATTTAGAAATACTAGAAATACTGGAAACACCGCGTTTCACAATCTCTGTGACTCCTCGGCCTCATTAATACTTAGTTGCTCGATTAGACGCGCGAGTTATCGCGCGTGTCACGTCACATGGCAATCGTGATTTTTAAGAATCTATAACTGTTCCGTCGAAAGAGCTTTTTTCCAAGCGAGACGCTATCGTTAGATAGAAGAGAGTGCGCATTTGTACACGCCTTGATACTCAGACTGCTACGGTGACTTCCATGAATCGTTCGAAAATTCAGTTGAAACTCGAGTGACGGTAAATACTCATTTTTTTTATATGTATACACATGTCACCTTGATTTATCAGCTCTGAATTGGCGCGACTAGTCACTCTTTACGAATTCTCGATGAGATGCAGCGGAAATGTGACGCCGGTCACCGCCATGGCGGTCGACGCATTAATTGTCCACATTTCGTTCATTCGTTATCTTAATATATAAAATAAAACAGATGTCTGGCTGTCTGTTTTCTATACGTCTCTATACTGAAAGAAGGATCTGGTAATGTATATAACAAAAATGTGGTAACTGTGACTAAATAATCCTCAAACATTTGATAACAGATGTTAAATATTTGGTAGCTATTATTGTTTTATCTAATTGATTCAACTCTGAATAAAAGTCACGTTCATATCGCGGGCCAATTAAATGCTTGATAATTAATGTCAAATTTCGCAACAGTTACCAAATATTTTGTCGAAATCTCGAGCTAAAAGCATCTGGTAGATATTGCTGGTCTTTTTTTCAGCGTACACATTTCCGACCGACTGAAATTTTCCAATAATTATTCTCTATTTTCCGTAATTACCCCGCCGAAAATGCAGGCTGTCGCAAAACCTGGACATTCTATCCCCACCTCCTCCAATTCTGGTAATTAGCAACCCAATCTATAACTTACATATAACGCACATATCGTTACAAATTAATTTCAATATGTCACTGTTCGATATTCACATTTCCATGAGTACCGGCAACGCCGGGATGGTTTAGGCTGATTTGTAATATTATCTATTTTTACCGTTGCTTTCTCTCAAAACACCTTCTCCCACATTTACAAATAAGTTTTCACTTTTGCCGTGTACTTTCCTTTCCCTCTCTCTTTCTCTCCTCGTCCCGATCCCGGCGAGAACTCGTTATCCGTCTCGCCCGCGGAACTTTATGTGCGGGCCGCTAAATTCAGACTGTGTTCAAATAATGTATCGAACGATGTATCGAACGCGAACAGCGCTGTTCCATTTCGCCGGCCAATATCCTTCTGGAGAGACGGAAAGCTAACCTTCTTCCGCGGCGGGACGGAATTCGCGCGCGGTCTGCGCCTCTCCTCCTCCCGCGACCTTCTTCGCGCGCGCGCTCTGCGCCTGCGCGCCGCGGCACGTGTATAAAATATCGGCGGCCCGTAATCGCTAGTACACTCGCTCCGCGCGCATCGTCACGTACGCGGCGAGTGCTCGTGCCAATCGTTTGACTTTGCTCCCGAGACTGCACGCAGCAAACACACCGAGAGTCCGTCCGTCCTCTCCTCCGCGGCGGTGTTTACCACGGAGACGCGCGATAAAGAAAAGAAAAGGGGACCTAAGAGAGAGACAGAGAGAGTTTTTATATCGGACAAATTGCTGCTGGCGAGAAGAGCGGGGAAAACGGCGGGGTTCACGCAGATGAATCGTCCGTGGAGAAAGACGCCGCTCGTAGGCTTTTACGCGATCGGCCGCACGATCGGATTCCAGGACCGTCTCTGAGAATAAAGGATCTCGGGGATCCTCGCGTCCTCGGAGGAAAAATCGCGCCGAAAGAGAGGGCTAAAAAAGGGGCCGAGAGGCGCTGGCGCGTACAGGCGAGACGATGAGCCCCGTGGTGATATAACATTGTGATCAGCGGACTGTGATATATACATATATACATACATACATACATATATATATATATATATATATATTTGTACATACGCATACGTATACCTCCCCTTAACCTCACCTGCCTCGCCGAAGAGCCTCTTCCGCGGAGAGACCGACTACTTGAGCAACTTGCATCATGGCAGAGTGAGTAGACACATGTGTTATCATCAATTTCCACCGTCTTCGTCCTCCGCTCTGTTTACCCGCGTCGCTCCCTCCCGCCTTCGTTATCGTCCCGGCGTGACGGATTTCTTCTCCGAACGTGGATTGTTTTCCTCTCTCCACCTTCGCCCATGTTTTCCTTCCGAGGCTCTCGTCAAGTGTCTCCCTTGTGAACGAGTTTCTTTCGTTCGCTCGCACTTTTCTCTCTCTCTCTCTTTCCAACGTCCGATTGTGCTCTCGTCCGATTCATCATCCTTGCTTTTTTTTTTTCTTAATGCGAGAGAGATATTCAGCTGGCGGGAGTAGATTTCTCGTCTTCTTCCTCTCGAGCGCGTCGCGCGATACCGCGGCATAATCGCCCCGAGCCGGCGATAGCACGTGGCGCGTCTCGCGCGTGGAAACCTTGTTCCGGGGGAAATCGTCGACTCGTGAACACGCAAAAACGCCCGCTTGTGCCACGGGTATCAGCCGCGCTTTTTATTATTTTGAATTGTTAATGGCAATTCATCGGATCACGTGAGTAGCTCACCTTCGCGCGAAGTGAGAACGCGTGCGGGGCAAAGTTGAGAGCTGCGCGCGACGCCGCGGATGCACGTGTATAATACCATCAGCGCGATCAACAAGTGCTTCTAATTTCGATCACAGTTCGCTGCAACTTCGGTTCGTAGGCAGCAGAAACGGATCTCGCCTTTGCCGAGAGCAAAACGTCCTTCCTCACGTCCNCCCCCCCCCCTCTCTCTCTTTCTTTCTTTCTCCCGTCAGTGAGTGATTGAGATATGCAGAAAGCGAGAATGAATTCGTACGAGTTCCCGTTCGCCGTGACTTTTCCGAGCTGTCGACCTGCGAGCGTGAGAGATTTCCTAAGCGATAATGTCACACACAGCTCCGAATGCTCTTGAATGCCCACGAAGACCCACGTGGTTCGCCTCCGTCGTGCGTTGCGCTCGATTGCGAACGAAGTTTCGCAATCGTTTCGCGCCGCGAATCACAATGTAGAAATAGATTATGGCGCACGTGGGCTACGATCGATTGTAGGGGGAAAAGAAAAGAAGTAACACGTTGTTGCCATCCCTCCGTCGCCGTCCTCGAGCGAGGTTTACGACGCGCCGGCGAGGCGATATGATTTAACAGCGCGACTTTAGCCGCGGAAACTCGTGCGCAAAGTGACTCCTGACACTTGACAAATTTGAGAGAAAGAGAAAGGGGGAAAAAAAGAAGAGTGAAGTAAAACACGATGGACGACGGATGATCACGCGTCGGACGTTCGTACATTGTGCGAGTGATGTAATTAGTCTATTAATACCGTACTGGTTAATACCATCACTAATGAATGACTTATAATGATTAGCTCGTGGCGGCGCACCGTCGATATTGCAATTATGGTACCGTCCTCGGCGCATACACGCACGCACACACCCATGTCGCCGGGTTGTCATCGGCACATGTTAATCGGCATTTAATGACGCGAAGCTAACTGATCTTTTATCATTGACCGAAGGAGTCGCTGTGTCGCGTGCGCGAGTTTCGCAACCGGCGCGATTAATTCGGACGCTTACTTAATTGCGGAAAAATCTGCGTATCCCTATGAAACCTGAGGGTTCTTCATTCTCTGGTTTAATTTAAACTAATGATAATGAATCGGAAATACAGAAATCGTAACTTGTAACTTGTAGTTTAAACTAAAACTGATAACAATGCAAAAATGGTTTCTTTCTATTCACAGTTCAATCATTTAAAAACCGGATGATTTTGTAACGGCAACTTTTAAGGTTTAATGATTCAACATGAATAGAAAGAAATAATTGTTGCATTATCGTCAGATTATAAGCTTGAGCCGCGAGATGAAAAGGAAATGAAAAGTCAGGCGCGTGTATGCGTGAAACCTAATGTCATTTTACTTATTTTCGTCCGATTATTAATCGGCTTGAAAACATTGGACGGTCTTTCAATATATTCATTCTCTTATTTCTCTTTTTCGATGAAGAAACCGATGAATTGCACAATTGCAAGATGAAATTTTTTTAAATGTGAAGAGAGAAGATCGCGATAACTCCAGGGTCACGCACGTACGCTCGAGATCGAACTTCGCTGGTCTTGCGAGAAAAACAGCTTATTAATCGACGATGAAATCGAGATGTGGGATGGGGAGAAAACGCGACTTGTCAACGACGACGACGACAATGACGGCAAAACGCCCTGTTCAGCGACGCTCTTCTATTCACCGTCACACATTCGAGCGACAGTATTGCGAGTTTTCGTGAGAAACGGCACTTGTCCTTCCCTTTCATGACCGTAAATTAGTAATGATACGATATTAGGCGATACACGCGAACACGTGTGACTCGCCGGCACACAGTGCGCGTACGGGAACGGAGAAATTCATCGTTATCGCGGACTTCGTACTCGGTAATCGCGCGTTCGAAGGAAGAAGCCCCTCGAGATCATCCGGAGTATCATTCGTGGAAATAGTGAGGGCAATTTCGAATGCTCGGACATTTAGAATATTGCTCGGATATATGGGTGTCTCTCGAAATACCCTGCGTATCCCGTTATATATATTTAGTCACACAAAAGAAAATCAAGATATTCTCATACATAAGCAAGAATATTGTAATATTCTTGGAGAATTTTTAGTCTTGAATTCTCGAATTCAAATGTTTGTGTCAATATACAAGCTCATTCAAAACAAGACTAAAAGTCTTCTAAGAAGATAATGATACTCTTGATATTTCGGAATATCTACTCTTGATTTAAGATATTTTTTTCCGGTGGTCTTATAATTCTCTCTTTTTATTCATTCTTCGAGTGATCGAGGCATAAAAGTACTAAGAAAAAACCAAAATAAAATACAAGGATAAATATTAGTTTTAAATCAAGAATAGGTGTATTCTCACGTATATAAGCAAGAATATTGTAATCTTCTTAGAAGATGTTTAGTCTTGATTTGATTGAATTTATATCGATGCGAGTATTAATTGAACTTAATTCAAGGTTAAAAATCTTCGAAGAATATTATAATATTCTCGCGTATACACGAGAATATCTATCCTGATTTGAAGCCAATTTTTTTTCTATATAACAAGTAGATACCTCACAAAATATTTAGTTTTCATCACACATATATATATATACACACACACACACATACATACACAGAGAGAGAGAGAGAGAGAGAGAGAGAACACGTAAAAATAAAAGACGAAATATCTGGCAAGGTATCCACTTTTCGTCGACCTTGTCTTAATATTTTTCCACGCGGACTGTGACGAGCAGATATTTGCGCAAGAAAGAAAAGCACAAAATTCCGTGAAAAAATTGTTTTCATCCCGGATTGTACCGGAAGCGCTAGAAGAACGCTCGACGAGCAGAGGCGGCGAGAGGAAGAGGGAACGCGAGCTTTCGACGGCTTTTTCCGAACATGCCGGATCTCACCAGCTCCTTCATATTTCTCGTTCCGAAAATATCGCCGATGATGCAATACGCGTGTATCGCGCGTAAAGCAACATTGAACTTGTGCAACCTCGACGTGTTGTCCGCGCGCCACGACGAACAAAGGAGCGCGAACAACGGGGCCTTGTCTATGGCAGTTTTCTGCACATGCGGAGCACGAATCGGCTGCCAGCCGATTACTCACGCTCTCTCGCGGGAAATCACCGCGTGCACCTCGCGATCACGCGCGTTAACGAGTGCCTCCTCGACGTCGACTGATCCAAGGGCTCGTAAAGCAACCGTGCGACATGCAGTTGCAACGCATTACAATGTTAATATTATTGCTGCTGTTGCGAGAAAGACAGAAAGAAGAAGAGAGATGGAGAAAGAGAGAGAGAGAAAAGGACGATTTACACTCGTCGCTGTCGTCTTCGCGTCTTTGTATTTGCCTCCGTCGAAGCAGCGTGATGTAATTAGTCTATTAATACCAGAGACACGTTCGCTCGCTCGTTCGTTCGCTCGTTCATTCGTTCGTTCATTCGTTCTTTCGATCCGATACCCATCCACGAGAAATGCAACGTGCACTTTTATTATACTCGAACGCTCCGCGCACGCACGCGCGGACATAAAAATACCCCGCGATTTCGCCGCGACTCCGTGCCAGAATTCGCGAATTCGCTTGGCACGACCCTGCGAATTATGCTAACTTCCAAGAGCGGGTCGGAGACGGCCGGCTCGGCACGATCAGCTGATCGGACCTCCTTCGGATCGAGACAGCTCGATATTTCGTATTGTTCTCCCAAATCTGGGAAAATAGCAAAGGGTCTTCTTTTTATTTTCTCGTTCAAAAAACGAGGATAGAACGTCGCAAATGGATACGCGCGCGCTGCTCCGACATTCGCCCCGATAGCGACGAGTCGTTGATATTTGCGCGATAAAAAGTAATCGCTAAACGGTGTTTCCTCGATTCGAAGCCGAGCGACTGGCAAGTCGATTCTCGCATAGCAAGCAACGGCAACAGCTGTCCTAAATATTCTATACATATTGCGCGATAAAAGGCGTGTTTTCACGGTTTCTTTTCCACGTGAATCGCCGGATAATCCCTCCATAAATCTTCGGCGTTGTTCTCTTCTGCTGGTCGACCGAGCGGCAATCACGCTCGGTAGAAAAAGAGAGACGGAAAAATAGAGAGGGAAACGAAATAAAAACGAGTCACTGACTCTCGCTCGGCGAAAAAATGTTTCCCCCTGTCGTTTCGCTAACGAATTCTCAACCGAACGGAAAAATGATCAGTATTAATTCAGGATCCATATTTTCGTCTACAAGGTGTCCCGGATCAACGTGGACAAATTTCTTTCAAAAATATTTCTCAAGTAACACGCAAATTTTAAAGTTATTAATTAAAGAAGCCTCTATACATGGCCATTCTTAATAATTAATAATTCGAAGTTTTGTGTGTCCTTTGCAAAATGATACAGGACTATTTCGTTCGTCTCAATCTGTTCTACGTCCTCACAAAGTTTGTCCATGTTGATCTGGGACACTCTATATGA